AGCAATGCCTGCACCTCGCATGTCCAGGACCGGGCAGGCGGTGGGACCACCCAGCGCCGCGTACGGGCCGGTCATGGCAAGCGTTCACATCGCTGGTCACCTAGTTTGATGTGACCGCAAACTTCCTCTAGGATGTGTTTCTCTAGGATATGTTTCTCTAGGATGCCTTCTTTAGGATGTGCTTCTCTAGGATGTGTTGTTCTTGGTTGTGTTTATCTAGGATGCATTTATTTAGGATGTGCTTCTCTAGGATGTGTTGCTCTAGGATGAGTTTCTATAGGATGTGTTTCTCTAGGATGTGTTTCTCAAGGATGTGTTTCTCAAGGATGTGTTTCTCAAGGATGTGTTGCTCTAGGATGAGTTTCTCTAGGATGTGTTTCTCTAGGATGTGTTTCTCTAAGATGTGTTTCTCTGGGATGTGTTTCTCTAAGATGTGTTTCTCTAGGATGTGTTTCTATAGGATGTGTTTCTCTAGGATGTGTTTCTCTAGGATGTGCTTCTCTAGGACTGTCTCTTATACACATCTAGATGTGTATAAGAGACAGGTTGTGCATAAGACCGATTTTGACGCTAGAAAAAGGACGCGGATCTAGAGAGATTTTTGAGTGGGAGTTGAGAGAATGCAGAATCTCTTCTCACACGCTGTCTCTCTCTTCTTGCGCGCTTTCCTCTTTCTCAATAACCCTCATACAACTCTGAGCGGTGGATCACTTGGCCTGTGGATGCTATGAAGACCATAGCAAAGTGTGAGAAGTCCAGCCAGCTGTCCCCTGGAAGGCTCTTTNGCACAGAGAGCTGCAGACATAGCACAGAGAGCTGCAGACATAGCACAGAGAGCTGCAGACATAGCACAGAGAGCGGCAGACATAGCACAGAGAGCTGCAGACATAGCACAGAGAGCTGCAGACATAGCACTGAGAGCTGCAGACATAGCACTGAGAGCTGCAGACATAACACAGATACTTCTTCTGTTCAGGCCAAGCTGTATGCGGATGACCTACACAGGGCAATAAGCGCATCACTATCAGGACACAGTCCCACTCAGTTGTCTGAGTGTACAGGCAGAGAAGGTGTCACTACAGACCACCCAGCGCTTTCTGGTATCACTGCGTCAAGGGAACACACGCAACACAACGTGTATAACCAAAGAAAATTACAGACCACCCAGCGCTCTCTGGTATCACTGCGTCAAGGGAACACACGCAACACAACGTGTATAACCAAAGAAAATTTCCTTATATATCAAATGCTGATGGTTTAAGAGTATTAATGGATATAAATTATAAATACATTAATTATGATTTGCAATGAATAAAAGAAAGAACATGTCTCTCTATACTACTGATATACGAGAAAGAAAGAAAATGTAATATAATATTTGCACGAGATCTTACTGCAATCAGATAACATTAATCATTAATTTCAACATTTATGGATGTTAACAAATGAGCTTGTACTGATATATCCAACGCAACCGGATTACGAGCATTTGGAAACCATGAATAGAATATTCTTATGAAATTTTTATCCCATTTAGAAATATTAAACATTAATTATAATTTATACATAATTGGCGAGAAAACCTTCCCCTAAGATATTTCTAGCGCTACTGAATCAGGAATGAAGGAGAGTTTCAAAAAAAATAAATATAAGTGTGAGTACCTAATTCAATCCAGAAAAGTACACTAAATTTACATCTAAGTAAAATAAAGGAACCATACGCAATTATTAATCGCCATAGTGCAATAAATACGCATGACTCACAGCCTTCACAACCATTTAATAATCGCCAGAATTTGCTACTTATAAATGTCAGAATTGTAAGTTATGCACGAATTTTATAGAGCTAAATTAAATTGTCTATAATGTATTTATTTACATGGCGGATACATAACATGAATTGCGAGAGTAACATTATAATTATACAGTAGGTGAAAAAAGATATATCCGACACTGACAGAGGACAAACTTCATTTAATTAAAGATTAATCGACCAAATAACATAAACAAACATTATTCTAATGTAAATTTACATGGGAAATACACATATCATATCAAAATAGCAGTATAATTATATGTTGACTTGATATTGCAATTTTGTAAAAGTCAAGGTACAAAAACTATCCCACACATGGTAAACAAATTTACTCAATGATTCGTCATGCGACCTTTAGCAGCCAAAATTTCTAACCGACTGTAATAATTGTTCACAAGATTAACACATGCATATGCTGATATGAATTTTAGTCCACTCAACCTTGCATATTTCTTTCAATTATAAGATTTCTTGGATCTCTCTCCTGTATCCTCAATTTCAATTTCCGCCACATGCAGATTTTCAATCGGATTGAGGTCAGGTGATCATGGCTTGGCCATTCCAGTAACTCAATGACCCTCTCCTGAAACCATACAAGAGTTGCCCTAGCCCTGTCAATATATAAGAGAAATAATTATAATAAATAATTAATAAATTGATAAATAATTTAAACCGTGTCACCAGAGTCATTGTCTTGTTTAAATATCCAACCTCGAGGAAGGTTCAATTTTTCGGCTGGCTTCACGAGACATTTCTCATGAATGCCCCGATACATTCTAGAGTTCATTCTTCCTTCTATGATTTCCTATTCCCCGGGGCCTGCAGAAGAGAAACAACCCTAAAGCATTATGCTGCCATATCCAAACTTCACTGTTGGGGCGGTATATTCTTCGGGTGGACGGTACTAATCTTACTGTTTTCACTGATTGGACGGTATTCTTCTTACAAAATTTCAATTATCAAGTTGTTTAGATATGATATTTGTATTTCCCATGTCAATTTACCTTAGAATAGTGTTTGTTTGTATTATTTTGTTGAATACGCCTTAACTAAATAAAGTTTTTCCTTTGTGGCGGATAATTTTTGCACCCACTGTATATTATAATTGGGCTTACGGTTGTGTGTGAGAGTAAATAGAACTAAAACCATTTTAAAAGGCACTAACATTTTAAATATATGGTGTGGAACATACAACCTGCGTGAATGCATGTGCTAATGCTACGAACTCACTCTTTCAACATCCACGTGTGAGATCCTCAATTAGAGCCTCTGTGCTGCCGGTATCGCTTGATCCGATCAGCAAACGATGACGAGAAATCACAGAACTCAGGAAATGTCGTATGCTGTACAAGAAATTACCTTAGCGTCCTCTCTAACCAGCAGACACTGTCGTTATGTCATGATCTTGCTGTTAGAACTGCCATGTCTCGCAAAGTGTCTTGCTGTTAGAACTGCCATGTCTCGCAAAATGTCTTGCTGTTAGAACTGCCGTGTCTCGCAAAGTGTCTTGCTGTTAGAACTGCCGTGTCTCGCACAATGTCTTGCTGTTAGAACTGCCATGTCTAGCAAAATGTCTTGCTGTTAGAACTGCCATGTCTAGCAAAATGTCTTGCTGTTAGAACTGCCGTGTCTCGCAAAGTGTCTTGCTGTTAGAACTGCCATGTCTCGCACAATGTCTTGCTGTTAGAACTGCCATGTCTTTTAAAATGTCTTGCAGTTAAGAACTGCCATGTGTTTCAAAACGTTTTCCTGTTTGAAAAACCTTGTCTATCAACATATTCTACCATTATACCTACCAGGTCTTCTGATATGTGTGTCGAATTTAAAAACTCCTTCATGATGAAATAAAAGTATATTAAAAATAAAGCATAAAAAATGCTAGGATTATTGAAAACTTCAGAATTTCAAAATCTGCTTATTTAGTAAATCTACTTTCATAAGAAATCAGTCATAATCTTCATTAATCAGGAACCTAGAGAAATAAAAAAATCCATGCCTCAGAACTGCAAAGAATTTAGCTTTAATGCGCAAAGGGGCCTTAACTATCAAGCTAACAAAATATTGGCCGCAGTTGAATGTTTTCTTTTATAATTTTAGTGAAAATTATGGGTTTCCTGGCGTTTCCTCTCATATCTTAAAATTTTATAGCTTAGATAAGACGATAAAAACTTGACGATTGCTTGTGCGCGCCGTATTCGACAGATTTTTGGGGGGTCGATACATTAACGTGACATTTTTACTGCGGCTAGGACCGTTATTTTGAGATAAGAAAGAGTGAAAGATAAGCCGATGGTCGCTGGTGCCTGGTCGTACAAGGGACCACAAAACCAGGATAAGATCTCGAGCACTAAACCGCTAGGCAATCGCTACAAATAGCCGCTTTTAAATGCGTGTTTCATCTTCAGTCTAATCTACAGGGACAAATTGCGGCAAATGTGAGAATTTCTAAGTCGTTGGTGCAACTAAAGAATCAAATGACTTATAAAACTTATCTGCATATTTGACCGTCGTTGGAATCGAATGTAAAGAAGGAAAATTATTGAAATCAATGTTGATTAAATATCATCTATAGGTGCCCGAGGTTTTAAAACAAGAAGAGACAATTAAATGCATCGACACAATTAACAAGGTATATCACAATTAGAATGAGTTAATAAATAGCGCTCATCATGTTAAATTCGCACATTGTGATCACAGGCCGAGAAAATGTGCGGTCGTTGAAAAGTAAAATCCTTTGAAAACTGAAAATAAACTTTTATTAAAATAATTCCGTGAAATATTGATTTAAATTTTAACAAGCTTGAATAAATAACTAGAAAAATGCATTAGAATATGCTCCATAAAATATTAGAAACATCATTGTGTTCATCCTCCATGTGATGATGAACATCCGGTGCTTTGTTTTGGATAATGATGAAAAATCATCCATGAGATAATGTGCTGGTAACGCATTGCAGTTATGAAGTCATGATGTTGAAAGCCTTTACCGCCCGTCACTTGTACGTAAATAGTGTTAAAAGACTATCGCATGTCAATTATACGTAAATAGTGTTAAAAGACTTATCACACTCAACGTCATCGTAGGCGGTCCCGCAATGTAGCGGCACAGACCGCGTCACCCATCTGGTAAATGACGGAACTTCCCCAACTCCCCCTAGAGGACGTAACCAAGATACAGCGGCTTCTACACAGGTACGTCACCACGGACGCTGGGGCCGTACGCAGGTACGTCACCACGGACGCTGGGGCCGTACACAGGTACATCACCACGGACGCTGGGGCCGTACACAGGTACGTCACCACGGACGCTGGGGCCGTACACAGCTACGTCACTACGGACGCTGGGGCCGTACACAGCTACGTCACCACGGACGCTGGGGCCGTACGCAGGTACGTCACCATGGACGCTGGGGCCGTACACAGGTACGTCACCACGGACGCTGGGGCCGTACGCAGGTACGTCACCACGGACGCTGAGGCCGTACGCAGGTACGTCACCACGGACGCTGGGGCCGTACGCAGGTACGTCACCACGGACGCTGAGGCCGTACGCAGGTACGTCACCGCGGACGCTGGGGCCGTACGCAGGTACGGTTATATAATAAAATAATTGGTAAGAACATCGGTGGCCATTGAATGCTCACTGCTGGACCAGGGGTGTTGGTGATATTAAAAACTATAGCCGTGTGCGACCGTATGCAAGAGTGAGCTGGAAGAACCATGCTGTAAATTGATGGAATTATTAGTATAGATAAATATTATTGGGGGCAAGAGGCACCTACGCAAGTGAGAGCATTATTATTTTATGGGCGATTACATCGTTAAGAAGTTCAAAATCAGACGTGACTGAATGTATACATGCTAACAGAGGATGAACATGAAATTTTAGTGAACAATTATGTACGAATTTAATATACTCTACAGCCTTTACGATAATAATGAATATTCATCTATATAAGTATTGGACTCGTCAGAACTTTCTGGCCGTTATTATATCAGATGTCTCCACACAAACACGATGCTTTATAAGACTATCGTAGCAATCCACGAGAAGTGTTCTGTTTTCGAATGAAAATTAAGTTTACGTTCAGTTTCACTCTGATTCCCAGTACCCGATTTGCTGCTGAACGTCGTAAATTTGCTTGTACTGAAAAAGAAATTATTGAAAGCGCATAACATGAATTAGTATTGCCAATCCAGATCAGTGGCATACGTACGCAGCCCTGAAACGCAAGTCTAGACGCTACGCATAGCAGCCCCGGCTCTTGCAACACCGCAAATTAGTTAAGGTGGCCTGGTCGTATTAATTTTGAAAAGAAGCCTAAAGTGTAACTAATGACGTGACCATCCGTAGCGGCGACCTCAGCGTGCTGGGCCAATAAGAGCGGAGGGAGAGATCAGGTGGAATGCAAGACGTCTATTACACTTTATATATATTTTGTAGTTGCGACCCATAATAAATAAACAAATAGATGTATTATAACTGTTTCTTATTTAGCTCCAATTGACAAGGGAATATGTGAATTTTGAGGTCTCCGGCGCCAGCATTTCAGTGTATTTTCCAAAGAACGGTGTTAATTATTCCCTAAACAATATTTTAGAACCAAAGATTTTGCACGCCATGGTTAGCTCTGGACCACTTAGAATAGTTATAGCTATTTTGATGTTATGTTAATTTCTAGGTCGGCCTTGATCCAGTTTTAGCATAAGTTCAAGGCGCATAAAGGCCACGAGTATGATGAGAGAAGCTCGGCTATAGTGGGCCACCCACGCAACGCTGGACCGAAGGGGAGTCTCTCGCTTCAACCAAAAGGCTTTTTGTGGACCTCAAGATATTTTTTTTCGTAGCATACATTACATGACTTTGTTGGTGCAGCGATTAGGGCAATTTTAGTGGCAAATTGCCGTCTTGAATAACACTGACTCCTAATTTGTATTCCAGCAATATAATGGCCGGAGAAGAGGTAATTATAGATGAAGCAACCGGTTAATGTCGAGCTGCCTTCGAAAATAAGAAAGACCTCTTGTGATTGCTTGATTGTTCTAAGGATCTACATTTATTATGCTACAGTAAAAACTACACGATGAAGATACATTATAATGATCAATGCTATTGATGGATTGAAGATTAGGTTGAGTTAGGTTAGTTTCACTGAACTATACAAACATTTCTGAATGGTTACAGATTTAAAAGTGAGAACTCAATTCTCTGGTAATACAAAGACATTATGCACGAACAATTAAACTTAACTATCAGACCTTTTGCTGACAACTTACATGTCTACCTCTAAAACTAATAAGGTAATATCACTAAGTTAAGGCTGCACAAGTGGGGAAATTAACAAAATTATATTTGTTTACAATAAAGAATCAAATTTACATGCTGCTGGGTTTCTTCGTCAGGCAGCAAACGTACAGAGATTTAAACACGAATATTCACATGCAAAGTGTTCCTAGGTTCAATATATGAATCCTCAACATCATACCCGCATGTGCACATATGTATTAGATCAGATATTATTCATAAATTTGTCAAAGAGCCATCTAAAATCTTGATGCTATAAGATTCACTTGATTTTACCGATATTTAATGCCAAGAGCAATAATTGCTTAATTTCGTTATAGCGCTGCCAAGGACTGGACTGTAGATCTTACGTTAAAGAGTTTCTATTAGATAACAAAATGGGAATGTCACAAATGCGGCAGAAAATAACGTTTCGCCTATTTAAACCCCTTCCACACGGAGATGTTCTTTACGTGTTTACGTCACTTGATTTGCGTACACAAAATCAAATTATTAATTGCAAATTTCTTAATATAATTTGAACCGACAGTCGATATCCGGATAATTTATATGTTTATCAACTGCAGTAAAATACTTTCTACGGGCTGGATATTTGTGTCTATCTCATTTGACTGCAGTACTCTTGATTCATCCATGCCATTTCAAAATGGATAATTCCATTTAAATCCATATTCACGTCGTTTCTTGCTTTAAATCAAGAAAACTTTTTAATAATAAACACAAGTATTAAATGAATAATAAATAAGTAAATTAGTTATCTGCACCTGTCCCCTTATTCCATCGAAATTCACATTGGCAGCGACGCAGTGAAACCATGCAACCAAAATAATTAAAGTAAAATTAATTTAAGTATAAAGTATAATTGATTAACCAACATGCCAAACTCTACATTTCTCGAATCTAGATTAGCATTAGATACCAGTTTCGAATTTAGATATTAATCAGATTATCCTTACACGTTAGGGGAAAAGTGAAATAAATTATACCTAGACCTCAACTGAAAGATAATCAAATTAAAACGGGAATAAATGATGAGAATTATCCTGCTGATAATCTTCTTTAAGGTCAATCTCAATAAAATTGATTTGAATGAAAAAAATTGTAGCTTGGCTAAATCCGAGGTATTTTTAACCCACATTTCAGTATGTATGACGACGAGCGTTGGATACGCAGTACGAGCGTTGGATACGCGGTACGAGCGTTGGATACGCGGTACGAGCGTTGGATACGCAGTACGAGCGTTGGATACGCGGTACGAGCGTTGGATACGCGGTACGAGCGTTGGATACGCGGTACGAGCGTTGGAGACAAGGTACGAGCGTTAGTGTATATGTGCTGCTGGTGATGTACGAGTAAATGAGCTTTGGCTATCCACAGATTCGAGCCCGACAAATCAAATGTTTTTCCCGGAAGCACATATAGCATAAAAACGATAATTTGAGTGATTTGTATACACACAGGGGCCTGGAATAATTTCTTTTTACAACACTTCTCTTTAACTTCATTTCTTGTTTGTCTGTCTGTCTGTCTGTCTGTCTGTCTGTCTGTCTGCTACAAATCTTGTAATCGAAATCTAAAACACTTCTACTTATCCAATCGATCTGAAATTTTGCACACTTGTGTAAAGTTGGAGACAATGCATGAATCAAATGTCAAAATAAATGATTTTAAAAATTAAAAAATTTTTAATATTAAAAAATTGAAAAAATAATTTTGTCAGCTACAAATCTTATAACTGATATTTGACACACTTTTACCTGTCTAATTGATCTGAAATTTTGCACACTTGTGTGAAGTCGGAGGCAATGCATGAATCAATTAATAGAATAAATAATTTTGAAAACTTAAAAATTAATTTTTTTAATATTCAAAAATTAAATGAGAAATTCATGGTACATCTGTAAGATTGGAGGCACTGGATTCTTTGGAAGTGTTGTCTTTAAAAAGTAATTTTTAAACGTATGTTATTAGAAATAGAGCTAAACATTTAATAATTTTCTACAAAAACATGCATAAAGAAAGAATGATACTTGATTTGCCACTAATTTACTACCTTTTAAAAAAGTACAAGAATTCATTAGGATTTTGTTTAAGGTATAGAAGTAATTCAAGTAATTTTAATCTGGACAAAAATATTGGGAAATTTTGAATCAATGCTTGAGCAAACTGAGTTGATTGAACTTATACCTGTGTGAAAAACGATGCCAAGTTTTCATAAAAAAATTCTCATAAAAAAACAAATTTACGAGAAGAAATAGCAGTTCTCGCATCAAATGCGCAAGCGGAAAATGTTCATGACTGTCAAACATGAAATTAACTTTGAAATATATGGATCGTAAACTGCCATTTATGCTTTGCTTGTTGCGGTGCAGTTGCTTCCTGCCTTTAAAAGCAGTTTTCTCCTCAAGGCTTAATTAGGCTGACATTCAGTTTTGTCAAGGGTTATTCGCCCCGACGCTTATTCATCCTGCCCTAACATTCATATGGGGTCATTAGCGTGCCATCGAGATTGCACTGCTCACCTCGTAATTGCATCCACAAAATTATATGCTCTAACACAGCCAGAAATTAATTCTGAACGACTCCAAGGACATACTTAAAATGATTGCTCGGGTCGTGAAACCTTTCTGCATGACTAATTTAATGGCTATAATTAATTTATAAGATTCTGTGAAACGAAAGTTTGAGTGATTGTGAGAAAGTAGCCTCGATCTAGCCTGATAAAATTTTCATCTTGAAGTTTCATCAATAAAAACGAAAATAAAAAAGACTAAAATACCTGGTTGTCTCCTCCAGGTATTACATAAAAGTTTAACATCTAATAAATAATTTTTTATTTTTTGGCCTCTGCTTTATAGTTTTTCCATTGATTTTATAAATACAAGTGCTGAAGGCTCGGCAAAATCGGCATTACCTTGCAATGCTCAAGTCATTTCGGGAGCACCCATAGCACGGAACCTGTCACACTCATTCATTGAAACAGAGATGTCTTTGCCTCCATAGAACAGAACCGCCCCCTTCCCCCACGTCAAACAGGACCCCCATCCCCCCCTTGAGGATGAGGACGAAGGTTCTGAGGTGGTCGAGAAATTCTCAGAGGTGGTCTGTGTTTCGACGTGTGTGGTCCGGCAGCTCAAAAGCAAACAGGGAGCTGAGCGCCGCAGAGCGTACGGGTGGTCTCGGCCCACCCGTACGCCGTCACATCTCTACGCTCGGCGCCTCAAGCTTACGCTCGCTTTGGTCTCAACAAAACAGCTTTTACTATCCCAAGGCAAACGAAACGTTGTGGTAGTCAACGGAACGTCGAGGTAATTGGATTGTGCATGATACGGCGACCACCCACCGCAGTCACTAATGCACTGATCGCTGTCGCTAGACTTCGCTCAAAAGAGCATAGCAGGGCTTCCTCCTAAACGACGAACATCTGAGACACCGCACTCAAATAAAGACACGAGCGAGACTCATGTATGGTAATAGTCCTCTAAAACGATTATATATATTTTTGAGGCCGGTCGTTTGCGTCCATTATTGGTAGCTATAGCCCAGCCCTCGCTACAGAAGGTCTCAATCTCACTGCTCACTCGGCCTGCGCAGCAGATTCCTTGCGTACAATGCTTCTCAAGTCTCTAATGGAAGGTTTAATGCAGATACTACACGTCCGTCCAACGGGGCGAGTCATTAAATTCAATTCTAGAAGAACGGGTTCATCTTATTCATGTAATTATTACAGCGGTTTTTGCATGCATCGTCTCAGAAAGTTGATGAACTCGGATTGCAGTTCTCGCGGGATACGAATTACTATAGCTGACTAACAAGCACTGGCAATCATACTTTCTACTAAGAGCTTAATTGGTCTGTAGAATATCTTTTAATAAAAAATATTCTAAGCATCAACAAAAGACGCACCAACTTGGATTAATTAACGTTTTTTTGTGCAGCAACGTTGTCTCTGCTCGTCCCATGTAATCAATAAGAAACTAAACGACACCCACACATCACACAAATCACAAATACACCACACAAGCCATACACACATCCACACAAGCCACACATCTCACAATTAAGCCACACATCACGCAAATCACACATCACAAAAGCCACATACATCACACAAGCCACACACACATCCAAACCACACATCACAAGAGCCACACACCCATCACACAAGCCACACACCCATCACACAAGCCATACACACATCATACGAGCCACACACACACACACACACGCACACACACATCACACAAGTCACTCACACATCACACAAACCACATACACATCACACAAGCCACACGCACATCACACAAACCACACACACATCACACAGCAGAGGCCTCCTAATCATAAGCACGTAATGAGCATTCATTAGCTGCAAGGTAAGCTGCCATCCCGAGCAAGATATCCCAGTATCATTCACTCAACAATGATGGTCGTAATCATTCCTTTTCACTCAACAATGATGGTCGTAATCATTCCTTTTCACTCAACAATGATGGTCGTAATCATTCCTTTTCACTCAACAATGATGGTCGTCATCATTCCATGTAATTGCGAGGTATGCTCCACCGAAGCATGGGTGGCATTCACTTCAACTTGACAGACAACCATTAGCATTATTTGCATGACCGTACTAATCATTTGTCTTCTCCATAACCTTATTATAGACTCCTGTGGTCAAGCTTATACTTTTCCTATGGCTTCATATGCACGATTCTCTGTGGAACATCATTAAATGAAAGTTCAATAAATATCTTAAAAGTTATTTTAGCGTTAAAATGTTATTAATGATTTCTTATTTACAGTGTTAGTCTGTATTTGTGTTAGGTCCTGTATTTCAGTGCTAATTGATAATCATTTACAATTCATGATAAATTTGATGAATTTTCCTCGCATTAGAGGTCGTCCGTGAAACAGTAGACTTTTCTGTTCGTATTAATTTAACGTAATTAGCGTAATTAATTTAACTAAAGAAACGCGGCCGTATTGTTATATTGAAGGATAAGAAACACGGCCGTATGGTTATACTGAAAGATAAGAAACACGGCCGAATTGTTATACTGGAGGATAAGAAACGCGGCCGTATGGTTATACTGAAAGATAAGAAACACGGCCGTATTGGTATACTGAAGGATAAGAAACACGGCCGTATGGTTATACAGAAGGATAAGAAACACGGGCCGTGTCAGTGTTTTATTTATGCCGCGTGGAGATGGACGACGTGGGCAGCACAACGAAGTGTCTTGGGCAACGCGTGCAGCCAACGCGCGTCATCACTAAATACTCGGAGTAACTCCGCTAATTGTGGGTATGGAACAAATATAACTCGTGAAAGATAGTGACATGGTATTTTATCAATGCCCAACGAACATAATATCAAATAAATATTGCTCAGCAAAGTTTAGGACAGATTATTTTATTCGGCAATAAAGTCAAAAGGTGATACACAAAATAAATTTAACATAAGAAGGTTTGAAATACATCATATGTTATTTTGTTACTTGACAATGTCGATTAATGATTTTATAAAACTATTATACATAACCTTAAGCAATTTCTAGGCATCTTATTTCATTACCCAAACAAAATCAACTGATGAATCAGAACGAAAATATTCTAAAAAAAATTCGCACTGTGTGGACATCAAATTTTATTCGAAAATATCGACTGATACATTATATTGGACTGAAATAAGGGAAATTGCTGGAAAACCTGAAGCAAACGTGATGCTCGTAAGATTATAGAAAGAAGAGTCGATAATTGGCAGGTTCTCTCTCTTTCGAATACGTTAATGAAAAAAATTTTGCATTAATCCAGAGTATGGAAATTATCTCAAAATTACAGGCCTCTTTTAACGAGTAACAAATGAGAATCTCAGTAAAGTTAATAGTACATTGAGAAAAAGTATTACAATGTAAACGTAATTTTCATCCATTTGTACGTGAATTAATTAAATGATTGTTCGCCTGATGAGCTTGAAATTTAACAGAGAAGGTTCGCGCTGCGTTGTTAGTGAAAACTTACTAATTATTCCAGCAAATTAACATGTTGAAGAATACTTTTTTATTCAGAAAGAAAACGCCGAATAATAACAGTTAAAATAATAAATTGTTCAATAATGCTTGCTAAAATAATGATAGAAGCAGCAGAGACTTTTACATAATTAAGCGTCCGTCATCAATCCTAACCTTTTAACGCGAATGTCATGTCAATGTTATTAATAAGAATTAAGTTATAAAATAATAATCAATAAGTCACCGGTAACAAAATGCGATCTAGTAACGGACAATAAATAAAATAATCAGGAAACCTTAGCATGTATTCTACTTAGTAATTCATTTAACGGTAGCTATATTGTGGCTCGGGAAATTGCACCTAATCGAACATAATATCTCTGAGAGGCTGCATGGTATAGATGCTGCATATACCTCTTATTAAAAAATGTATTAGATTTGTAAATTTACTTTTCAAATTATGGGTTCCTGAATAAAATGACCGATAGAAGTAGCCCCATGATGTGCATGATTTGCAGACACGAGTAAAAGATTCATAACTGTAAAAAAACGTGCGGAAGTCGGTTGTACATTGCTACGTATATAGGAGGGAGATCCAGTTGTTCCTTGTGCACCCACTACAAAGTTTCAGCTATTAATTCCTTGCTAATTTGCATATCATTGCAGGTGATTTGCTTAGTGATAAGTGAAGCGATGTCTACACGACACTTGTGAAAGACAAGTTCAATATATGGTTGACCAGAATTACATGTAGGTGATGATATAGCTAACAATTGTGGGGAAAAGTGGAAGTGGCGATTTGAAACCGCTGTGAATATTCTACCTATGAATGAAGGAAATACTTGTATGAAAGATGATTAATAGGTAATAATTAATAGGTAATAGGCTGGTAGGTAATAATAAATTATTATTCCATAGAATAGATGACTAATTAGGCTGGTGAAATAACTTTTAATGTGACGAAACAATGGCAAGAGCGCGAGTGAGTCTTGATTGCATAATGCGAGTAAAGCAGTTAAAGTAATTAAAGTAGCTCTGTTAAGGGGACCCACTACCCTCCGGAAAAACTTCTACAGTTATTATCCGATCATCATGAAGCTTCACACACATACGTAAAATGTAAAAAAAAAAATAACATTTTGCTCGTATGAATTTTTCGAAAAAATTGATAGAAAACGTGAAATTCATAGAAAACGGCTAAAAAGGGGTACTTTAGAAAATCTATCTCCTCCTACAAATATCATCCTACAACATCGAGACACGTATCATTCTATTTGTAAAGACCATACCTATAGACTCTGTGATCACTTTTCTCATTTTCCCCTTAGTTTTTTTAATGCGCTTTTTTCCCATTTTTCTCATTCCCCCCCCCCTTCTCCCCCATATAAAAACGAACCACACTGAAATTTAAAAAAGTGATCACAGAGTCTACAGGTATGGTCTTTACGAATCGAATGGTATATGTCTCATTGCTGTAGCTTGAAAACTGTAGGAGGAGATAGGTTTGCCGTGAGACCAATCGGAGGTTTTCAGGACGCCCAAAAAACTGCCGGGCGGCACGTAAAATGACGTAAAAGAGTCGTAACGTAGCCAACATACCGCAACTAAGCCTTAAAACTAAGTGATGAAGGCATAGAGCAAGTGGCTGCACACCTCTCACCTCGCTGTCATGATGGGCACTGAAAGATCTGGCTACAGCTGGCAGTATATGAAGTCACGCCCCGTAATTACTGCCTTAGACATTTATTAAGGCCGCCCCCACCGCCCCCGTTCCGTGGGGCGTGTTGAACGTAAAAATGGAGGTAGGAAGATGATTCTGCTACCAATGGAAGCGTCGGAAAGTAAGCTTTAAGATGAGTATAAGCACCAGATAATGCCATAATTGGCCGCTTTACGTCAGACGTTACTTTTTAGTGTGTCCAGCCTTCTAATTAATCCCATAGGCTTTAGTTAAGGGCTCTAAAAGCCCCCTCCCTTCGGGGGGCTGTTACGAAATCATTTTTCGACGTAGAGGGATGATTCTGGTACCGTTGGATGCGTTAAAAAGTAAGCTTTAAGATGAGCACAAAAACCGGAAAACGCCATAATTGAAAATTTTAGAGTAGCGGGTCCCCTTAACGGTATCTGCTATATATCCTAACAATTAATCTGTGACTGTTGCTTTCGTTAAAATCTGTGTTCACATGACGGGTTTATTTAAAGCATGTGCGTTCAATTTACATGACCGTATTGACGACGAACAGACTGATAGATTAGTACGTCAGGTATTCGTTATTGCAGTTGAACATTAACATTTTTGCAATCAAGCAGTTCAGAATTAATTTTTTCAAACCTTAAATTAGTACAGAATTACACGGCATCTTATGAAGAAGAATGAAAATTTGATGGAAGCTTACAATATATATGTATAACTTAGTTTATTTTCAGCGTATACTAAGCATGAATAGTACGCATATCAAATAAAATAATATACTTAGAAGATTCATCCCCAATAGCGATTAAAATACTCATTGAGCTTATCTAAATTCACGAATTATGATGGCGTATGCGAATATCCTGTAAATTACAGGATGAAGGAAGGAAGCTCAAGCAGAAGCTGGTAAAATGATCAAGATAAAGACATGAATTGGATGAAACTTCACTTCCGCGCACCATGCTAGTCGTCTGAACTGCACAGGATAATGATGAATGAATTAGATGAAGCTAGGTTCACTATAACGCCACGCTATAGTCGTCAAAACCGCCAAGAATGGTGATACATAAATCGGTTGCAGGTACACTAGCGTTTTGCTATATATAGTCGCCTGATCTCCCATGCAAATTATGATTTAGGCATAAATCGAGAAATTTTCAACACCTACCCTTTAAAGTGAACGATGGTCATGGCGATTAGCAATTAATATGCACACATGATTAAATCACAAAAAGCTGCAAGGGCAGGGAATTCTTCGACACTCAATTTGAAGGAAGCACATCGAGAACATCAATACGACAATGCAGTTCACGGAGCTCTAATGTAACTCGACAAGGAGAAGGCACGATCAAGGTTATTACAAGTTTCAGAAGCCTGCACTGAAATTCAAAACTTGAACATTGCGCTCACATAAATGTTCATAATTATATCAAAGGCAGTCGTCCTTTAACTAAACATTTTCCGCTCGCAACAAATGTTATTTAGGTTAGATTAGCATTATTGCAATTGTATCGATAAACATGCATGTTCTACTCGTAACACAACGCGCTTTAAAAGCATGAAATTTTTTCAAACTGATCAGGATTCAGGTACCCAAAGACCTTAGGACCACGAATGAACGTTATGGGTTTCCAGCCATGACTGCAGTATGATTTCTATAGTATTAGTAATCCAGTACAAATGATCGTCAATACCATCGAGCCAGCACAAAATGCACGCACTGACCACTTGAAGTTTTGTTGCTACGCTACTGCGTTTCTAATCATACGCAGGTTAGGCACAACAAACTCGAGTATAATTCATTTTAGTAACATTTAATTTAGCAGCTCGAAGATGAGAGTTGCATCTGAATTTTCGTTATTAAATTCTTCACTGTGGTGAGTTGAAATTGCCGAATATTAGCATCCTTCCTTTATATGACAGAGAGAATGTTTTGCATTTAGGATGAGTATCACTCACACTCAAACACATTCAGAATGTGTAACGTAAACACGCAAATTCTGGGTGTGTATCATACATATTTGGGGTGCATGTTACTAATAAATCGTGGCCGTCGACAAGTTATAATATCACTGCAAAGCGTTGAGGTAAAACGTTGAGAATCAACGAGTAAAAATATTCTTGTTATAAGGAAATCTTCGAAAATAAATTCAAAATTCCATATAAAATAGATGGAATATCAATATATGTTACGAGACCGAAAACTAACGCTAATGTATAATGTGCCTCGAACCTTGGAAGAAAAATAAGAAAATAATAATTTGAATCGACTCTCATTGAATACATTTGGTGACAGGCAGTGCACATTTATATTATTATTATTATTGCTTGCTTTCATCTTGAGGTAGTTTACATCAACGGAATGAAATATGAACCTAATTCCTGCCTTTGTTGCTGTGATACTACGAAAAAATCTAATTGTCTGTACAGAATGTATGGGCCTAATATGTGTATATAGTGTAAGCATCACTCAGAAAAATGAGCGAGATATTTGGCCAATTGATATGCAGTTTTTGCCTCTGTGTGCGTCATCCTGACCCAGTTTAATGAGTAAGAAAGTGTGTCATTATTTCGACAATTTGGCCCAACCTTTTCTCTGAATGCATGCACGCAAAGCTTTGTTGAAAATCATGTGAATTTGTTGAGCTAACACTTTTTTTTGGTGATGAAATAAATGTTGTCGTTGTTTCAGGAAAAACCTAGCTACATAATAGATGGTTCATAAATGTCAAAGGCCAATTCACCGAACATGAATCTGATTTTCGACATGTTCAGGACATGAACCTGTGTCAAGTTGGATCGTTTAGTGGATTCTCGGAAGAATCAATCAGAGTCTCGCAGAAGTCTAAGTTAACAAAATAATGTCAACATGAATGATTTATTCATGTGTTTGCTGTAGACAATTCTGCCGCATTTTGCATTCATTTTTAAATAATGTGTGCATACTTTTCATAACGAAGATCAGCTGAACGAAGTGCCATATCAGATAACACATTATAAGTAAATATTTACCAAAAGATAGGCACACTAAACTAATCATATGCGCAAAAATTTTAAAAACCCTACGCGTTATAGCAAAGGTTATTACGAAGGTTAGCGGGAAAGCAAGTTTCAAAAGTACAGCTGGGTGCTTGAAAGGATTGGAGAAATTTGTGGGCTAGCGTCTAAAAATAAAAGATAGAATAAATTCCTTAATACATAAATATTGACAGTATGCGGCGGTGTCACGCATATTAGTTCAGAAAGCATGCATTTTTAATAATTTGTTCGTTGTTCGAACTTGACTAAATTATTATGAACAGAAGTGTGCGTTGTTATTTCAATTTCAGTCAAAACTAATATATAATTTTATTCATATATTACTAGCTATGTTCGGGCAACGACACATTCTTAGAAAGTTGGTACCTCTGAACAACGTAAGTTTGGTGGACGCATCGAAAAATATCTTCGGACCAGCACGCGGCACCGCCACGTGTCCGCAGGGGAGGAATCAGGACGCGGAACTCGTCCAAATCGCAAAAGGAGTGGCAACTTCATTCAGCTAATGATTCAAAGATAAGGGTTAGGAGTACTTAGAATACACGAGCAATGAGACTAAGCGGCGATATTTAAATTTTTAAGCAGACACTGGAGAAAATGTTTGAAAATGACCAACTCAATTCTAGGCTGTACGAGCGATTTCAGCTAAGCATAAGTAGGCAGCCTAAATCAATGCTTTTCAGGTTATTCTTTGCTAAACCAAAACTGCGAATGCCCTCAGACTTCAAAAATGTGTGAAAGGGATAGTGATCTTCACCTTTTTTCAATGATGGCATAATTCAATTGTAGTGAAATAGGAGTGACTATCAAATATTTGAAAATATTTATGCATAATGTTTGTTCTCAGGAGCTTCAAGCGTCTTAGAGAAAAAAAAACACCAACGAATTCAACCGCTCGAATTCAAATTTGCTCTATTTTAAATACATAAATGATTTATTGGAGACTTTTCAAGGGTAATCATGCTCTAATATGCACTTCTAACCTGAAACGATCGCTCTCAGAGCTACTCAAGCGTTCAATAGGCAACTTCAATGCAAGCGACTGAAATTAAAACAAAACCTGACAGGCTATTGCGATAGCAGCACGAGCAGGCGATTAAATACGATATAAAACAGCTACGCTCATACTAGACTTACGGGTAGCACCTCCCTAGAGGCTTCAATTAAACTCTAGTGGCGTTCTCCTGCTCTAGTATGCGAGGCTAGGTTTACGCTAGCGTTCAATTACTTAGTTCTATTGCAGGTTTTTTTCTCTTAATAATACCAATTACATGAAACTATTTTTGACGATGGTTCTGTTGCTTGCATTAATACCCTGACGACCAGCGTTGATCGTTCCACATTGTAAGAGTTAACGTTCAGAACTTCACAGAACAATTCCAAAATTCCGATTCTCTCAATATTTAAGCGAAATGTACATTATTATCAGTTTAACAAGTTTACGTGTTCCGACGAACATCAGTGATTTCCTTCAGTGAACATTTTTTCCCTGAAAGAACTTTTCTTCGTTTAAACTTCTGTACAAAATACAACTAGTCTATGCATAGGAATATCTTGAACCCTCACACCGACAATTTATATCAAAGCTTTGCAGAAAATATTCAACGGGAAGCAATAAGGTTCCAGTGGACACTCGCCTGTGGAGTTCATAAAGACCGATCAGATAAATAAATACAATATCTCCATTGCTTTTACGTCTCACTGACAGGAATAGTAGATACGTTCCAACGTACTTTTTGATTGATGATTTGTCAGTATTGAAAATAGCCGTTAAACCTTCCGTGTCAAAATGAATCAGCAGTTCATGTTGTAAAACCTGAAAGAGGGCTTCTCAAGATAATTTTAAAACAATGACGCAATGAATAAATATAAGAAAATAAAATAACCGATTACAAATTTAGCAAACAGAAAAGGAAAAAAAATAAAAATATAAAAAATAAAATTTACTGAATAGTCATAATCTCTTGACGAAAAACATTGGTGATGATATTAAGAGACGTGCCCTGTATTAAGAGCAACCAAAGGCAGTAACACGGACTCAAACGAATTGCTGTCAGAATCGCTCTAAAAATTGTTCGTTTTACAAGGATATTTTGTGACTTGAACCTAATGATAGTGTCAACAAATTGCCATCATTGCAGGAAATGCCCTTTTTGAACAAATAAAACAAACGGAGTTCGTTATAGCGAGTCCAACTTTAAAGCTAACATCAATCCATATATCACAACCGATCTCGTTTCAATCACGAACAGAACTTGTGTTGACTTATGAGCAACAGAAGTATTATCTTAAACTACTTTATAAGTACAATAATTATCTCCTTGAGGTAACGTAAAATATATGAATAACAGTTACGAATGGAGTAGTCTGTAGCCAAGACCTTCTCTGAACTAAAAGCATGATTATAAACCTGATTCGAATCGTTATAAAAAAATTCGTATCGATATAAAAGGAAAGGAATATAAGCAATATTCCATACCAACAAGTTTTAAAAGGTGACAGAACAATGCTCGATCGTGAGAATTCATGAAGATTGGCACAATACAACACAGTTTGATTAAATAATTTAGCCGAGTTTGCGTTAATAAAAAATATGCACTCCCACTTCAGCTATTGTCAGATCAATTATTCATTTATGCATTTTTTAATAACAAACATGAATAATTTTTCGATAAGACGAAGGAACAATGACTCAGAAAATTCATGCCGTTATTTTCGTTCGTTGAAACAATGCATAAAACTACAATACATTTAGCCACGCGACCGTTGACGACGATGTTAAAAACATACGTCAAGTTCCAACCAAGACCAAAGTTCATGGGACAGAATTCAGTAATTAGTATTTTGAAGACCAGCACCCTGATCTTCAGCAACGGAGCACACGTAGGTATATAATTTATTGCAATGTGATTTTACGAGAGCTCATCAATGTCAGTAAAATTCAAAGTTGAATCCCAGATAAAAAATTCCTCAAAACATTACTAAGTTGCTTGATGCAATGAGACCTCCAACATACAAGACAAGCTGAGGCTTTGCAGAATCACTAGCGATAAAATTAGAGGTTTTAGCAAAGAATTAAATCTACGTCACTGACAATTATTTTGACGAAGATTCGTGGGTTCCTTGCGATGACTGATTTAAATTATAATCTTAAGGCGGCAAAGGATAAAGAATTTCACAAAAAAAACAACAACTTAGGAGAGAAATCTTCCAACAGACTAAAAGGAACAGATGCCAACATAAAATAAATAAATGCCAACTAAACTAAAAAAATACATCGTATAACCAAGGATAAAAATATATAACATTGGCGTAGACACGGCAATACCACGAGTATCACAGAACAGTTGCAACACATACATTAACAGTGGAGCAATCAGAAGCTACAATATTATATTATGATCAATTGTAAGATTGCCGTATATCATGAAAACAGTCATGAAAACACTATATTTTAATTAGCAGAATAGATGTTGCGAAGGGTCTAAAGAAAATTCAAGCAATCACACACAATTCAAAATTCAAGCAATGGGACGCACAAACACTAAAGGAAACGACATTTTGAAATCAGATCGTTTCTCTATACGCAATGAGAACCAAAGAGGCCAAGGAAAACACTAATTATATATTAGTATAAACGCATTTTTTCAAAATATTATACTCTAATATTAAATCACTTTACAGAATTTCAAGACGGTTCTTAGAATGGTTTTACTACATTGACTCAAGGCCCTATACCCTAAATGGTTTTAGTGACTGCTGATTGAATAAAGGCAGCGAATTGGGAAACATTTGATGGAAGTTCAGACGCGATGCACTGCTATTCTCCGGCAATTTAAACCCTTACATTTACATACATTTGCATGTAAATTGTAATTACATGGTCTTACATTTGACAGCTGTCACAATGGTTCAAGGCATTGGTTGGGAGGCAAACATACGCACTGTTGCCTTTATGTGTAAAGAACCATGATTAAACTGGATGCATTTACTCACTCTTATCAATTAACCGAATCGTTTTACTATGATTCACTTTCTTCCAATTTGGGGTTCACTAATTATTAATTCAGCGATGAAAGAAACGAGCCGCACGAGGCAAATCAAGATCTTAAATAGCTTAGTCAATAACATCCGTACCTGTAAAATCTGCGGCGATCTAACTTCTAATGCTTCGATCAGAAAAATGATTTCAACACTGACATTAAAATGATTCCCAATTCACAACTGGTGCACCATCATATACACATAGAGGAGACTTGTCGCCATATCACAATACTACATTTAGTGCTCTATTCTGCACACCAGACTTTCGGTCACATAATCATCACAAAAATACGAGATTAGTTACATTACCCAAACGTTAAAAATTCGAAGACTTCAATCCTCCAAACTTTAAAATCTAACATATAAGAGCGAAATTGATGAGAAGTATTGCCACACAACGCAATAATGAACAACGTAACGCCGACGTCCGCGAACACGTCGTTGCCACAACTTTATTCCATACGGCCCAAAATAGGTGGGAAGCAAAGGCATTTTTATAGAAAGATGTTCAAAAGAAGATATTGGTGGCTCTCAATTCTAAAATGATCGAATGATACTTTCTAACACTGAGACGAAAATACACGGCATGAAATGGAGATCACCAAATGACTGATAAGTCGTTCAGTTCCATTAATCTGTTACTTAAGACAAGTTGTAACAATTAAGTAACGACGCAAAAAGGCTTGCTTGGACTTGCGACAAACAATTGAACTTATCACAAAGGACAGCCTTAGCTGGTCCTATGAACTTACAGGCGTTTGCTGCGAATTTTCACCTTGAACTAAAACGGGAGATGATTTGTCCGAGACCAGCAACGAGTCATGAGATCTTCTCAAGCAGTCTTCAGGGCAACAAGAATTCGTCCCTTGCGGCTCACGGTTGCTTGCCTGACAATGCAAGACCATTTCTTGATCTGGAGGGAAATCATGGCTGCTTAAATGTTCTTGTGAAGAACACGACAAATGCTCCCGACTGCTGAAGTGTCCCAATGAGTCCGATTTCAGGATGTCTCGGCTACTGAAACGTCCCTCTGAAGTTGCCGAAGACTGAATAGCCGCACAAGAAACGGAAGAAGTTACGTGGTTGATTTCCTCAAGTTCAAGGCCATGGGATGATTCCTGGGGTTTGGGGTCGGGATAGTTGAGGAAATACTGAGGATTATCAGCGAGGAAACTCCTTAGCTTGGTGGGATAGTCGGTCATGACGCCTGTAGCGCCGCTCTTGAAGCCAAGGTGGAACTCGTCTTCAGAGTTCAGCACCCAGAGGTACGTCTGCAAACAGGGATCAATATAAGTTTCATGTTTTATTATGTAAATTTAGAGATAAATGTTATATTTTATTAAATATGTAAATTACACATCAGTTATGGCAGGTTATTATTAGTAAATAAATAATATTATCTTATAAAGCAACTAATTTCAGATTAAAATAAGACTCCAATGTAATTTATAGATTCATATAAACATCGATAATATCATGTGAAATGTTTTGGAACACAAATCTAATTCAAACCAAAATCACTTGTACCAAAATAGCACAAATTTCGGCACAAGATTCAACCATCTCATTGACATTTCAAATTTCAGGAAAGCCTTCAATCATGTGTACAACAGTAAACTTGTCACCAAAGCCGAAAAAATCAATACAACTGAGATAACTTGATTTCTTGAATAAGAAATTTAATAGATGTTTAAAAACAAAGAAGATGGGCCAAAAATTTGTCATATGTTTATAAAAGAAAACGTTTAGATCCCGGGAGCAATCTTTAGTTAGAGTTAATGCAGAACCAAGACCTGTTCCCCGACAGCAATTTCAGAACTTAAGCTTCTACAGCAATCTTTCTGAATCATGAAGGTTATAATCCCTATATATTATCAAACTAATGAATTTTATAACCATCTTCATTGTTTTAAAATCTTTGAAAAAAAAACACTGCAAATTCTATGTCTGGGTTGCATGAACCTGAATTCCCCTCTTGGCAAGGTGGGCAAAGAGAGCAGGCCTGATGAGAAGGAGGTGGGCGAAGGAGGCAATGGTGCGTAGATACCAGGGCCCTTTGGTTGGCAGCGGTGGGGTGCCTGCTGGTAAGGAGGCCAGGGAGGCGCTGTGGGTGAGGCTGGTGCTACTCGACTCGCTCTTCCTGCAATCAACATGGATGACAATAGAAATAAATGAATAATATAGCCTCCGTCTCTCTTGCCACCTCTAGTCCAGGACCAAGGAACCCCAAGAGGTAGGCTCATAATGAGATGACAATTTAATTACGATATTTAAATTGTGAATTGCTTAGCTAAACATAACTGAATTTAAATAACTGCTGTGCTGCTGCAAACTGATCATGATGAATTGCATTGCTACCTCAAACTGAGTATTAACACCTGTTTTGGTACCTAGAATTGACTGTATATACCAGCTTTGTAACATGAAAGTGACCATGAAAGACTGCTCAGCTACCTCAAATTGACAGCCTTGCTGATAGGGTGGAGTGGACTGCCGGGCACACTCGTAGCATCAGCGCCCTCAGTGGCGGGCGCTCGTTGCATAAATAGACTGGTAATAAATTGCAAACTATTTAATATAGTGAAAAAAAACATAACAACCAATTAGAATGTTTAAAAATGTTCAATATACGTAAGATTTATAATTAAAAAAATCAATAAAAAAAATTTAAAAACCACGTTTTCTTAACGGACAAAAAAGAAAAACATTAACTCTTACAAAACATTAAAGTTATGTAGAATGTTATGCAATGTTATGTAAGAGTTATTGTTTTTCTTTTTTGTCCGTTAAGATATCATGGTTTTTAAAAATTTATCAATTTTATTTTCTACCTTTTAGTTTAGCAATTTTAGCAATTCAAATCATTTTCCAGGGTTGGCAATTCTGGATGTTCGACAAAAAAACTTCCCAACCGTGAATTTTTAAGTTTTTTTAGTAAAAAAATTCTTAAAAAAAATTTAAAATTATTACTTCTGATGATCAAATCTTGAATTGTTAGGCAACATAAGCATGCATGCCAAATTTCAAGTTCCTAGGATCTTCAGAAGTGCCCTAAATTAAGGTTTGAATTTTTGATGACAGACAGACGAAACGAAACTAAGAAAAACGTGGTAAAAAATAGTTCAAAAGAGTGGTACCAAAACTACTGGTATTATCACAGAGTCAATTTGTATAGGTTTATTTTGTACGCAGTCCTCAGCAAAAAAAAAATATATTGAGTTGAATTTATCCTCGATTAATGAGGAGAAATTTTTATGCATCATTGCCTTAGAAGAATAGATAAAGAATATGAGGACTAATAGAAAAGACCAATAGAATAGAAGAAAAGACCAACTTATAGGCATGTCGAGGCATGAATATTTCAAGGTGCGTTTCCTTGATAGGCATGAAGGGCAGCAGGCCAGTGTAGAGCTGCAGCACCAGCAGCACCACGCGCCGGAGGCTGAACAGCAGGCAAATGTTTGGGTTCTGATGGAAGGTTAAGTGTCTTATGAATGAGGGAGCTGCTCATTGTTTACAATGAAACAGTTACTTCCTTGTCAGATAAGCAGTAAACTTTTTTATGCAAGATTTGAATGCGTTTTACCTTTGAACCCTGAACCCCTACCCTGAAATCATTTTACTCATATCAAATCAATATGATATGATGAGCTCTGAATTCCTCTTACATTACTAGGAGATGTAACAAATAAGAACATAAGTAAACACACAGCCTTAATTTATTGTAATTATTCAAAAATTAAGCGCTCTAAATACAGTGACTTGAATGGCCCTCTATTGTTCATTAATCATCCTAATAAAATATACCTATACTGGGACCCCCAGTTATGGTCAATAAGAAACAAAATAATTTAGGCACTAGGGTAAACAGTAACCTGCTTGTAGCAGCGTTGGGTGATGGCATCGCTAAAGTTACCCCAGACAGTGAGATGCTCCCGTTTGTACAGCTTCACCAACTCACTAACCTGTAATTTTCCAAATTAGTAGTAGAATATATCTCAAATACATCATAAATTGTAATGGAACAATCCTTCAGATGCTCAGAATGAAAGTAAATCATGAACATAACACCACATAGTTCTATTCACAAAGAATATTTCAGACCAAAAATTTAAATTGAATAGCAGTTTTCTGTCAAGAAGCAGTTTTGAGCAGCACATAATTGTCCAAATGTACTCCAAACCTATAATATGTAAATTTTATTTTTAAATTGATACACATTCAAATAGACTTGCTATGGGGAATGCACCCTAAAGCACGAGTATTACAACTGATTTAAACAAAACTGAGATCATCAAGAATTCTACACACTTTGACAATGAGGAGCTCATTAGGCACTTTGATGTCAATATTGATGGGAGTATCAGGGAAGGCTTTAAAGACTGTCTCCAGTAGAGGCATCTGACGATCTTGCTCCGACGGGCGGCTGAAGAAGCAGCCTGGCATGAAGTCTATAGGAAGGACATCTCTTAAACCAGGCAGCTCTGCATAATTGGTTTCTGTTGAAAAAATCATTCACTGAATCCAAAAATATGATACTTTTGGTGGAGATAAATACAAGTGTTCTTGGTAGATCATCACAATTTTGTTGTTCTAATTGTCTTTGTTCACAAGTAATTAAAAGCAAACAGCTTACTATATGTGATTGTGACTCAAGATGTCCAAGTGTTGAGGCTGATAACATTTATACCAACATAAATATACAAAGAAATTATAAAGAAGACATTTAAATTCTATGAGTTACATTTATTACTGGTCGAAAATGTTCCCAATTCATCCTAAGTGTACAGAAAAATTGAAATACGTTCCAAAAAGATTTAACAAAAAATCTAATAGGCTTTAGGAAATTCCTCAACAGGAAATATTCCTTCCTCTTTAATCAGTAAGATTTGCATCATGATGACAGCTTACTTAGGTTAGTCAAGTTATACAAATATTTGGGATGGAAATGAAGCAATGGCTCTATGCTAGAATTACAATGCAGAAATCTGATTGGTTGCCTCTCTGGTACCTCAGCCAATTATTGTTGATGTTTACATGAATGGAAGCATTCTGGCCATAAATTCTGCATTTGATGAAGGATTTTGATAGAAAATAATAATGTCAAATCATAGCAAATGAAGGATAAATGTAGTTAAAAAATGTATGCAAAACCCCTCATAGGTATGTAATGAAATCATGTAATTACATCACTGACAACAATAACGTTTGAAATCACTAGTGACTTGTCAATAATAATTGAAACAAAGTGATAAATAATTAACGGATCTATTAGTTCTTACCAGCTATCATGCCATGGGCATTAGTGGTGCGCTGCAGATGCGGGTCATGAGCAACAACTACCTGCTCGTCTTTGGTGAGATGCACGTCCAACTCCAGCATGTCTGTCTCCAAGCTCACAGCACTATAAAGCATTACCTTATTAGACAGCATAATTTGAGGATTATACTACTAGGGAAATATTTTTACATTATTTAGACTTCCAGCATCACTTAGACATAATATACACTGAAAAAATGAGCTACATGGACTAAAGTTTTTCAATATCTACTGGCAATAAATTGTTTTTCTACTGGCAATAAATTGTACTGGGTGGTTTGATACCAATAGCAGTGACTATGGATAATTTATTCATATAGTGTGAAATTATCAAACATATTTTACGTAAACATCAATCATTTTTTGAAAAATGAACTTGACTGTAATTATATTATGTTGGTACTATCTAGATTGAATGGTAAACATTTTAAACTTTACTGTGCATAGTGTACATGTATTTTTCATTTCAACAAGAATGACTTTACTGTAATTGAGATGTGAATTAAAAAAAAATGCAAACATTTCAATATGGGAATATGATGTCTTAAAGCACTTACTGTTTGAAAGCTGTCATGGTATTTTCATAATTTTCTCCAGCTCCTGCACAAATAGAGAATTTATTGATTAGAATATTTTAGATGTCAAATGCTTTGATCCATTAATATATTTATACATGGAAAGTAAATTCTAAGTGTAAGAATAACAACCAAAAGACTCTCTTTGAGGGAAATAATATTAAATGGGAACATAACACTGAGCTAATGATAAAGAAGGAGTTGATTCCAAAGGTGACAGAAGCACAACCTTACCTCCTCTGTGACTAATGTGTCGACATATGAATCTGACATTTTTCCGTTTGTGCAGCAAGCATGGGAATTTGAATAATACAACTGAAGATAGGATGTAACATCCAAATATAATACCAACTACAATTCCATACACCATTAAGCTATAATAATAGACAAACACTAAACAAAAAATAATGATAAAGTAATGCTGTAATCATCTGAAATGCAATGAAATTATTAAAAATTCATCATTAAAATGAGAAAATACATGACCAACAATGCAACAAACATATATCCTTTTAACTAATTATCAATGATGAATAAAGATCATCAAAACTTTAGATATTTAGTTTAGGCAATCTTAAATAGAATCTACTACAGAAGACTAGCTGCAATGCATTCATATCAATGATTAAAGTTAGTAGGATGACATCAATAATGATACATTCTATGTTGCTCTGAAATCCCTCAAATGCTATCTTTCAATTTTTAATCAGAGGTTTTCCTTTTTCTCACAACTTTTTGGTTGATTTAACTTTTTTGTTAACTGGAGATGAGCAACAGCAATACTTAACAACAGTAATAATAGCTGCCAATTATGACCAGTGCATTAATTGACTATTTGTCTGCATTACTGATAAGTTAGTGGCTCTGTAATTATTTCCTATGGATTGGATCCATAGAAAATCTACAGCTTAAAAATAAACTCGTAGCTTAGAACTTTCAGAATGCAAAATTAATAGTCGCCCTAGTCCCCACATATGTTCATTTCCCCACGGCCCAAAGGGCACAGACCAAAAGACACCTAGGTAGGATCTGGCAGACAATGTTTGAAATTATGCTCCTATATTTATTGCAATAAACAATGGCAAATGATCAGAACTGACCTGGCACACATTACAATTGATGCAGGTGACAAATACAGAACTTACAGTTGCCCAGTGCACAATTCTATCTATGAGTATGAAATTCTATGCACAATTTTGTGATGACCAATGATGCATTAAGTTTTTGTCAAGTGAAATTTATTTCGATGAACAAGGTAAATTTAATCAAAATTCATTGTTGGTTATAATTTTTTTTTGTTAACTGGAGCCATTGTGTTTTTAGCATTAGCGGTGTCCCTTATTACCTACACCAGAAGGGTGTCCCTTATTACCCCCCGTCATGACTTGTGCGGAAATGGCCACCATTTTTGGGGGGAATGAGCCAGGCTGTAAAGTAGGGCCTTTCAGCTCGAGATATCGGCGTATTTTCAAGCTCTCTATCAGCCACATCGACCTTAAATCGGCGTCCATGGCCGATCATAAATTATAGATTGCTCGATCAGCCCCGCCGTCACCGCGCGCATCTCCAGCTTGTTTGATTGCTTGTATCTCTCACCCAATCAGTATGTGCATACATCTGGTGCGCCCAATGCTACTGCTGAAAAAACTTGTCATTCTATAGTGTTTTAACACGATCTATTGCGTTCTAACGCGATCTATTGCGTTCTAACGCGATCTATTGCGTTCTAAATAACGCGATCTATTGCGTTCCAACGCGATCTATTGCGTTATAACGCGATCTATTGCGTTCTAACGCGATCTATTGCGTTCTAACGCGACCTATTGCGTTCTAACACGATCTATTGCGTTCTAACGCGACCTATTGCGTTCTAACACGATCTATTGCGTTCTAACACGATCTATTGCGTTCTAACACGATCTATTGCGTTTTAATGCAATCTATTGCGTTCTAACGCAATATATTGCGTTCTACCGTGATCTATTGCGTTCTACCGTGATCTATTGCGTTCTAACGTGATCTATTGCGTTCTAACGTGATCTATTGCGTTCTAACGTGATCTATTGCGTTCTAATGCAATCTATTGCGTTTTAACACGATCTATTGCGTTCTAACATGATCTTTTGCGTTCTAACGCGATCTATTGCGTTATAACGCGATCTATTGCGTTCTAACGCAATCTATTGCGTTCTAATGCGATCTATTGCGTTCTAACGCGATCTATTGCGTTCTAATATGATCTATTGCATTCTAATGCAATCTATTGTGTTCTAGCGCGATCTATTGCGTTCTAACGCAATCTATTGCGTTCTAATGCGATCTATTGCGTTCTAACGCGATCTATTGCGTTCTAACATGATCTATTGCATTTTTACGCGATCTATTGCATTCTAATGCAATATATTGCACTCTAAAGCAATTTATTATAACCCAAGGCAATTTAATGTAGTCCAAGGCAATCTAATGTAACCCAAGGCAATCTAATGTAGCCTAAGGCAATCTAATGTAACCTAATGCAATCTAATGCAGTCTAATGCAATCTTATGAAAGGCAATGCAAAGATGAAATGAAAGGCTCTTGTGCATTTTAATGCATTAAAATGAAATCTAGTGCAATCAAATAAAATTTCAATGCATTCTTACACATTATAATTCAGTCTACAGTATTAAATTTTACTGAATTAGGTTGGCTTGAAAGGGCTGGAATGATTTGATTGGGGTTGAATTTGGTTGGGTGTGGTTGAATTGGGTTGAATCAAGTTGGAACAAGTTAAATTGGTTTCAGTTGAATACAGGGTTGGTGATTTTTTTTATTTAAAAAAAATAAAAAATCAATGATTTTTTATATTTTTTCATCTTTTTTGTATTTTTGAAATGTTATTTTTTATGTTGCAATTAGCCTACTAACAATAACAGTATATGGATCAAATGGAACAACTCCTGTCACCTCAAAACGGATAACATCAACAACAAATGGATGGCTAAAAAGGGCACTTATTGCCTTCAATAATGGCCAAGGTGGTGTTTACCACTTCTGTAGTTTTGGGTAAACAATTATTGATAAGTCTATTCATTAGCTTTGTAAAGTTTTATGGAGCAAGGTAACAAGCTAAATACTGACCATTTAACTGGCTTCAATATACAAAAACACTTCAGGAATGTGGATCTTCTAAACATTGAAGAGTCACATAATGGATGGGTAGCAGATAGCATAGTGCACAACACTATCAATATTTATTTAGATCTACTAGTTTTATGTCCTATAAATCTACCAGGCTCTACCCTCTAAACATACCAACTAGTAGTGACTGAGTGACTGACTGCACAGTTCCCATTTGATCCAGAAAAATAAATACTAAACATAAACTGAACGATAACCAAACAAACCTCTAACAACTTGAAATGAGACTAATGTTATGAGAAAAGCTAATACTGTTTGAAATAAACATATGCAAAATTCAAACATTTTATTTCCATTCACTGCATTTAATTATTTTATATAGTTTCATATTGTAATTGTTTTGTCCAGTTTCAAATTGACATATTTAAAAATTCAAATTAAATATTTTAATTAGAATACTCATATTAGGGTGAAAATCTTTCTAATTGCCTAAAAGGTAAATCCAATCTCAACCTCTCAATATACAGGGTGGGGCAGAACCAACTGAGCAGCTTTGAGGCAAAATAAAAAAGTATTGGAGGTACATAAAGAAGAAAGTTTATTTTCCTCGAGGTTAGCATAACATACCATTTAGAATACTTATGTTTTGAAAACAATATCCAGAAGATGGTGGCCGCTAGCTGCAACACACTGTTGGAGTCGTTCTCGGAAGAGGGAGTAACCATGACAGTGAATTCCGAATGCTATGCTGCAATGTTGCAAAATTCCTTGCAGCCAGGATGGAAAACATCGTTGAAAATGAAGCATTGGGAGACGTGTGTTTCCAGCAGGATGGGGCTACAGCTCACACAGCCCAAATGTCACTCAATGTTTTGAAATGCATGTTTCCCAGACGACTGGTGTCTCTGAGGGGTGATTTACGAATTACAGTGGCCTGCAAGGTCACCTGATTTGAGCATTTGCAATTTCTTTCTTTGGGGACATCTAAAAGAGAGGGTGTTCAGAAGTTGCCCTACACCCCACCACAGCTAAGGGAATGGATTATTGCTGCAGAGGTTATGGCCATACCTCGCCATATGTGTGAACTTGCTGTAGGAAACTTCCAAGAATGACTCAACAGTGTGATGCAGCTAACGGACACCATCTTCCTGATATTGTTTTCCCAAGTATTTTAAATGGTATGCTATGCTAACCTCGAGGAAAAAATACTTACTTCTTCATGTACCTCCATTACTCTTTTATTTTGCCTCAGAACTGCTCAATCAGTTCTGCCCCACTCTGTATAAGCTAGCTAACACATTTAAATTGTATATTGTAATTAATATATAACAAATAGTCAAATAGTTAAAGATTACTTATAGCCTTATAAGAATTGGCTAAGCTGCTAGGTAGCTATGTACAATGTACTGTAACATTTGATGCCTTTGTACCAAAAACATACAATGAATTGAAACCTAATACAGCAATCCCTTGATTAGCACGGTTTTGAATACCGCGGTTTTGATTAACGCGGAAAAAAAATATCGCTACTACCAGTTTAACACAAATACTGCGCTTGATCTGAAAAGTAATTCAGATTGTTTTTTCACTTTTGAAACATAATTCAGTGCGTAAAGGGCTAGTTACTCGTTAGCCTTCAACTGGTCAAGATCGCTGCCATATCTACTGCTCACTTTTATCAAACTACATAATTTTCCTTTCCTTTGCTATTTTCGACGATTCATTATAATTATTCCCATATATTCTTAAGTTTGATTAGCGCGGTTTTGCTTAACACGGTAAAACTCGGGGACTTATTAACCGCGTTAATCAAGGGATTGCTGTACACATTAAAGGCAACAAGTTTATATTCCAATATGTCATAGTACATTTAAACTAAACCATGAATAACAATACCTCAAAATAAATTAAAGACTGCCACTCAATATATTTAAATATATAAAAAAATATAACTCAGTACCCACTGCAGTGAGTGACAGAGAGCGCATTTTCTCGTTGCCAAAAACTTGAGGTCACTGACAGACGGACGGACAGACGGACAGACAGACGGACATGGCGAGCACAATAGTGCATTTTTTCCACAAACTGAAAATGCGCTAAAAATAAATAAAAAATAAAAAATCATGATTTTTTAATAAAATAATAAAATGATTTAATCACATGATTCAATTAATTTGAATAAATCAATGCCAACCCTGGTTGAATATGGTTTAATTGGGTTGAGTTCAATTGGATTTTGGTTGAATTTGGTTGGATTGAATTGGGTTGATTTGAATTGGGTTGGGTTGAATTGGTTTTGGTTGAATTGGGT